TGAATTGCATTTTCATTTTTCGCTGGGTACCATAGCTCTAAGGATCAACGTCGGTCACTAAGCTGGATATCCATTCAATGTCTTTGTAGACTTCATAATTGCGTCAACTCACTTTGCTGATTTCGACAAGAACAAATGCTTACAAACGGCCACCGGCTTTGTTTCATAAAGCGCTTTTCAGGTGACAACCGGCGACTGTGGCTCTGGTGCCTCCAACCGGGTTCTTCAGCGAATGCGGTATTGGAGGATGTTGAGAAAATGGCCATCCAATCGACCTTGCAGCTCCTACATGGATGCCCTCAACGTTTGCTTCCGGCGTATAAAAACGCCTTTTCAACTTGATTCACACTAGGTGGGTAACCAATAGGCTTAAAAATATACTGGTTCTAATAACCTGAGCCGTGGGAGTGTGGTTCTTACCGAGAATCTAATGTTGATGACATTGTAAATTTGGAAGTAGAGCGTGTCCATCAGCAGTGATGACTGGTATGTCTCCGTAACTTACGGAGCTATGCTAGGGCTTATCCGAGATGGTCGATGTGTATAGACTGGAAAAGCGAAGTTCTATCCCCCTGGGTTAGGAATATTCCCTTCGAGATTCGACTACCATGACAGTACTGCGCTAAAGGTGCCGCGATATAGCCCGGCTTCTGAGCTCACAGGATGCCACCGTTAAACATATCGCTTTCCACCCATGTCCTAGTTCTACGCCAGTTGTTTTTATCAGCTTTTACTGTGGAAAATTCAGGTAGCCCTATCAATCGGCTTCTACAGTTCATCTCCTTCATACCTTATTGTTCATTTCTAGGTGTCACTCTTGCTAAATGTACTGAACTCTTTGTTTGGAACATTTCTCGGACGGGGTCGTTTGTTCTGCCTCTGTGGAAAAGTTTGTTGATGAAATCACCGACATATTAGGCAGGCCCTCTGTTCAGTATCCCGACAAAATGTTGTTGTTCGGTAGCATCTCTTTCCAACTATACATCCAATTTTTTCAATTATTCACGAGAGTTGTAATCTTTTTATTCCAGAGAAATATGATTAAAAAGTGTTTCAAATCTACGTCAGGATATTTATCATGCTTCCTCCTAGTAAACACCACAAAGTCAGATACCATCATTTTGTTTATTAACCAAGAGAAGATAAGAGGATACAACTAGCCTATGGTTGTTTTCATTGGCTTTTATGACCGGTTTCAATTATAAAAGCTGTAAAATAAAGTTTTTATGCGCAATATTCAGACTGTTACCAATGCTCCATAGTGAAACACACCATCTCCAAGGCTGATGATAGTTTGAGTTAGTTTGTTGCCGTGGGATTATTTTGTGAAAACGCACCGGTTAGACATTAATAGTTTGAGTGAGAAAAGTGATAGGTGAAAAAGATTAGCGATAAGTTTGTTTTGTTTGTGAGGCTTGAATAAAATTATTTTTTTCAGAACATTTCACATTGCCGCAAAGGTGTACAGTTCGAAAGCCTGCAAAGTTTGTGCTGGCAGTGAATTAATCTAAAACTCTCAGTAATCTAAATGCTTTCACCGAATAGGTGGAAAATATATAAGGTGTCTTCAGTTCTGGAAACATTTGATTTATTTCGTCTCTCATGCGCAGCAAGAAAAATATTTAGGCTCAACAACTACCTTATTTAATAGTTTTATAACAGGCTCTGTATTTCACCAATTGAAGACCTCAGAAGTTTCCGAGCGTACCTCAGACTCATAGACTTCTATTCGTCCGCCAAGTTAATCTACTGCATAAGATATCTTTGAGGTGTGTCCAACTCTGTGTTTTGGCCTGGCGCATCTGAGAAGTAGACAGCAGGCTTTTTATGAACAATTTCATCCTAAAGGAATTTTGGGTTATGGGCTAGACTGCTTTAGGCCCCCCAAAATTTCTGAGGGAATATCTACCGAACGAACAGCGTCTAAAATCTGGGGACATTTATCAACCAATTTCTTCAGACAGTCGGATAAATACATATTAAGATCGTGGGCAGTGGATCCAGGTCATAAGTGCCAGGAGGGAAGTTTTTTCAAAACTTTAAGGTACAAATATTTCAAGCTTAGCCTTAAGACTCGGACTTACCAAGTTTGTTTTTAGTTGTTTTCGGCTGAGTAAAAGCTGGCACAGAAAGCAGTTTATTGAATGCTCTGTTTTTTGTGTTTGGCTAAATATTAAGTACAACTAAAACGTCAGAGTGAGCAACCACTCAGCTAAGAGACTCTGGTTGTGCAGTTTTTGGCATGCTGATAACAGTCACGATTTCTTCCGAAGACTAGTATGCCGATAATTTTCCTTTCACCGTAATGCATGTTTAGTGCCCGCATCTTCATTCTTGCCTACGCAAGGCATCTTTTTATAAATGATTTTCCTAGTTCATCTATTGTTGCTACCACTTTATAGTAATTAGCTTCCGTCCTTTTTTATTCATATTACATATCTGGCTAAATCGAGTTCCAGGTGCAGCACAATAGTTTTTCAGGATAGTGCAGCGCTAGTCTCATGTTTACTTCTGTATTTTCGTTCCAGGCGTCCTAAAATAAACTCTCTGTGGTTTGAAACATCCTGACTGTCTTTCATGACACTGGCTTAAAATGATATTGAGTGTAATTCTGAGTATCATATCAATGCCAGTTAAGTTTGCGTCTGGCTAAAGATATCCGTTTATGGAGCCAGTTACAAAGCCCGTTAGTTGTAATCTTGAATGCATTTGAAAAATTCTCTCACTGAAGTCAACCTCCAGACAATAGATTATTGTTTTGGGTTTGAGTTTGTGAATATGGTGAATACAACCTGGTTGTACCATATTTAAGCTGTTGCGCAACATACCAAAAAATTACAGCGAATTTGCAGTCTGAAAATTTCTGAAAATTTTCAAGACAGAACTTGTTCGTGTGGCGTTCTTTTTTATAAAGATGCATCAGCCTGTTTTCGACAGGTAGTAGTTTGCACTAAAAACCAGTCGAATACAAAATGCCCAATTTGCGTGTTCTTATGTTCTTGGTGAGCCGACTCTAAGTGAGTAAAACTGAGACAGTCACAGCCTTTGTTATACTTAGTTATGAATAAGCTGATAGGGATAAGGAATTAGGGCATCATGATACTAATCAAAAAGGTTTTTGGCTCAACTAAGCAATGCATTGTTGGTGCTGTTATCTGGACTTAGAAAACCTGGTATTATTTCAAACCTCGTAAGGAGCAGCTAAGTACTCAGTAGGTGCCATGGACAAATGAGCAATATAATATAATGTTGCTAAGTTCATACTCGACCCATCAAAGTAATTTTGAAACTACATGTCTTATTAATCTCACCGTTTGTTTCATCAAAATAAACGTAATCATTAGTGACGGTGATACCAGTGTTACCTTACTGTCATGATATCTTGGAGTTGCAGAGTGCGGATGCCATTTCGGGTTGAACGACCATAACGTCAGACTAACTTCATTTTTGATGTGTTTATTTTAACTGAGCCTACTGTAGGAAGGTTTGCAAAATATGTGCCATCGCATGTGAAGTGGTTCAGAATGATCTCAGAAGTGAAATAATGAGATCAGAGGAGGCGAAAAAGAATCTGACGAGGGAAAATCCTCGACGATGTAGTGAACAATCAGAACAATCAGTGTTTCTGCCTTTCATCCTGTTTTACCGGACACGGCAATGTACAACAAACAAGCGAAAAGTTTGTAGAATGGCAAAAGTGAAACACAACTTTAAAAGGAGTGAAAAAGTTTTCCAGATGAGGAGTAAATATTGAATTCCCCAGGTAAAATTTAATGTGCGATGGAAAAGCTTGATTAGGTTTATATATTTTGTGACCAAAATGGAAAATCTTTGAGGATCATTTGGAAAAACACCTTTAGAGCTGAACTGTTCAGATTAGCTGATAAACTGTGACTGTGACAACCTCATCAGTTGTTCTGCCTAATTAACTGCCCTAGTTAACTGGAAAATCCACCCGATTCCCCATATTCCAACTTAGTTCTACCCACTGGCGGGCCATCTACTAATTTTACTCAACAAGGTTTTTTATTGGCTTAAAATCTTCTCCTAAAAACCTGCATTTTCGTGTCCCGTCAGCTAATAATCCTGAGTATGATTGTCCACACAGTTTGCTCTGTTACTCGCCGTTCCGTATGCTGTTGTGGACCGTAAAATAGTTGTGAAACAAGTTTCAGTGATTCCACCAACTCACTCTATTTAAGGCAGGTTTGCTCCTAATTTTAAACCGTTTTGAAGTGCTTTTTCATGGGATATTCTTATAAACGTCCAGATGAGCTGTGCTGACTGACCTTTATCCCATACTCTTATATTGTTTATCTGTGTTGCGTTGGGAAAAAACACATGTTTTGTGATCGTGTTATGCAAAACTGAAACCACCTGGAACTATCTCTTACGGGTTGGAGTGATGCTAGTGATTAGAAAGAACACCGCTTCATTCCAGCACCAGTGTGGCGGCCGGCTAAAGTAATGGGGCTTTCCGGCGCAGACACTTCGTGTTGTTCCGCCGGCATTTGTATACACTTCCTTCCTATCAAGTATCCGAACACAATTCTCCATGGTTCTTTTTCTTACTTAGGATATCTTACAAAAAATTATTTTGATTTTGTCTTCTTTCAACACACTGAACCACTGTCAATGGCTGGCCAAGTTGTTGAAATAGGTCCAGAATTTCGACTTCTCTAGAAGGCGATCCGGAAGGTCGGTTGTGTTTCTTTGCTGCATCACTTTCTAATCAAACTTCAGCCGCTATTGACCCGGCTGATTTAGACACCAATTAAATCACACATTCTTATAAGTATCTTTCGCACCAAAATACTTATTCATGTCTGCCATAATTTTTTTCGTTTTCCCCGATCGGGCCACTTTTATTGCTTACCACGATGAAGGACTGCTCTGATCATACGACTGTTCCAGCTGCCTACTGGCTGTTTTGGTTGCCGTGCCTCTAATTTTACCTGTAAAAGGCGTACCAAATCAAAACCACTCTTTTCAGAACGTACCCGTCTGCCATGAAGTAAGTTTGCCAAGACGAAGGTAACCCAACGGCAGAATGTACGGTTCGCTCAAAGCCTTTCACCCGAACTTCCTGTTTACCAATCGGTAGAGTGCGGTCATTAAGGCAGGTCTGATGAAAAATGTTGCCATAGAGTACGACAGAAAGAAGTAGCTTACGTAGGAAATCATACAAGGATGACATTCGGAATCCAAACCGACACATTCAAAATAAATTTTCAGTCCTCTCTTCACCATTAACCTCTGAAGAAGCAGAGTCGCCCCCTCGGACAAGAAACCGTCCAAGCATTTTTCGGTATAGTAAAATTTTTCAAAGGTTTTCTTGTTGTTTTCAATCACTTCCCTGCCAGCCTCGTATCCGTCTATCGTGCGATTTATAGAAACAGTTCTGGTAGACACATTATCTGCGGACTAATGTGAAGTTCCCTTTTGAAATGTTCGAATGATGTGCTAACCGTCAGCTTTTCTACATGAATCTGGGATATCGTTTTAAGGTTAAAATCAATCAATGCATCCAGGGTTGTAACGAACTGCGTGCTGTCAAGTTTTCCTTTCGTTGATGCAGTAATTCTAATAAGCCCCTGATGTTCTTCAGGACCATGAGTGTCCCTTTCAGCTATACACTGAACTGTGAGGTGGGATGCAGTATATTACCTCATATGAACCAACAATTTCGTCAGCAGTTGTGAAGCAGCAAAGATGATCCTCAAATAATACACCTTTGATATCTTCGGCAGCTGTTGACTTCAGTCGCAGCATAAACACCACTCTTACTGATTGACTTTAAGAAATTCACATAAGTGTCACTTAAGACCACGACTCTCTCCTCATCGGAAAAATACCGAGCATAGGTTTGAGCCGCGTTTGGTAGTGGCCTGTAGGTTGTGGTCATTTTCAAAATATACACGTAAATTGACCATAGAGACAAGGTGAGTTCCTGCGGCTTTTCAGTTCAACGGAAATGGACCTTGCCACGGTAGGAGGAGCGGCGAATATGCACCCACAATGAACTCTCCTAAAAGCTACGTATCTGCCGTAATCGGAGATATCACTATTCCGGATTTCTTCGCGGCTCAACTTTGACTGCAATAATCTTTGGCTGTTAGTCATTTTCGAACACTATTACACAGGTTCAGGGACCGATACACAGGATCGAGGATTTTACCCAAATTTCCTGGGTGAGTTTTGTTCTTGTCGTTCAGCGGCTGTCGCTCACCTGAAAAAAGGGTGTGGCACTGCTCTCTATGTTCTCAGCGCGGGGCCGTACGCTTGCCAGCGCGAGGATTCGCATAAATAAATGTCTAATGGCGCTTTGAACTGGGTTCCAGAAGGAGCGTGGACAACCGTCGGAGGAGGATCAACCCATGCAGCTAGTATCCGAAATGAGAAGAAATTTTGCCTAATGAATGTGTGTGCTCTGCGTTTGAAAACCTTCATACCATGTCCCCGTCGTGTGTTTGCCGGGTTAACGGTAAAAAACCAGTTGACCAAGCCTTTTCAAACGGGGCATAGGTAGGAATTAGGTCATTCTCAGGCGACGATACTCCAAGGGAAGAGGATCAGGCATGAAGGGGATCAGGCATCGCAAGACGGGTTTCGTAGTCCACAGATTTGGGGCCGGCAACCATTTTCGTCGCGGCTTGCTGGACACGCTCAACGAGGGTGACGTCGTTCGTGTGTCCTGAGTAGACAACTGATGTAGGCCCCATAGAGTATTTGGAAGTGCATGCGAGTAATACGGGAGAAGGTGCACCGAGTCATCCGAAAAAAATATCCAATGTCTTTTGGGCCGATTTCCACGGTGCAGTGAGAAGAACAAGTTTTAGGAGACCCAGATGCCCACCTACAGATCAGAGCTGATAGCAGTGCTTCGGGGACTGGTGACCATTTCTCAAGCACACACTTTCTCTCCTGGTATATATCCAACTCATGTAATAAATACTCGATTAACCAGTTGGCTCAGAATTCCATTCCCGCCAGCCCTTACACACCTGATTCCCATACGACACT